GCATGGCTTCAATCTCTTAAAGAATGTCTAAGACTTGTCTGAGAAGTTTCATCCACTTTTGTACATCTAGCAAAAACAAAATTATTTTTAATTCAGGAATGTCATCTTGCAACAGTTTTTCAGGTGTCTAAAAAATGTAACCAATACAGAGTGAAAACATCTGAAGAAACCAAAAACATAACATGATGATAAGATATGACCATAAAAAACAGTTGTTATTAGCCCTCCTGTTATTTATTTTTATTTATTTATTTATTTTTATATTTCATAAAATGATGTTTAACAGAGCAAGGATTTTTTTTTTCATAGTATGTCTGATAATATTTTTTTTTCTGGAGAAAGTTTTATTTGTTTTATTTCGGCTCGAATAAAAGCAGTTGTTATTTAAAAAAAAAAAATTAAGGTCAAAATTATTAATCTGTCTAAGCCAGTGGTTCTCAAACTTTTTTCATCAAGTACCACCTCAGAAAAAAATTGTCTCTCCAAGTACCACCAAAATGAGCAGTGTTGAAATACATTAGCGTAGTAGGCCCAGTAAATCAGCTCCAACTCTCACAGTTAAAAAAAACATGGCAGATTACCTCAGAAATATAGGTTATTTGTCATATATGGCATATTATATACATAATTTTTGATAAATTTTGAAATGTGTGTAGCATGTACATGAAATATTTCATTCCTCTGCGTACCACTAGAAGAAGGCCCGCGTACCACTAGTGGTACACGTACCACAGTTTGAGAACCACTGGTCTAAGCTATAGCTTTTTAAAGGTCTACCAAACAAACCATCGTTATAGAATGACTTGCCTAATTAACTTGCATAGTTACCCTAATTAAGCTAGTTAAGCCTTTAAATGTTACATTTTTTTTTTTTGCTGTTATTAACATCCTTTACATTTTTTTTTAATCTGCCCAATAACCAAACATCCGTGATCGATCAAGTAGTGGACAATCTTCTCGTTTTGTCCAGGTTTCTAAATCTCCTAAAATGTCCGGGATTAAACATTTGCTTTCACTTTCTAAAGCTTGTGTGCGTTTTTACATTAGATTCTTACTTAAGCCTTGTTGCGAGAGCGAGTGAAACATAAAATAAATAATTTTTTTAATCTAAACGACTCAGAAAAAACTTGACTATTTACTCGAAGAGGATGAAATGATTGTTCTAAACTGGCTGCAAAATGTACAGTTGAAGTCAGAATTATTAGCTCCCCTTTGAATGTTTTTTTTTTTTCTTTTTTAAATATTTCCCAAATTACGTTTAACAGAGCAAGGACATTTTCACAGTATGTCTGATAATATTTTTTTCTTTTGGAAAAAGTCTTATTTGTTTTATTTCAGGCTAGAATAAAAGCAGTTTTACATTTTTTTAATAGCCCTTTTAAGGTCAAAATTATTAGCCCCTTCAAGCTATATTTTTTCCTGATTGTCTACAGAACAAACCATCATTATACAATAACTTGCCTAATTAACCTAGCCTGCATAGTTACCCTTATTAACCTAGGTAAGCCTTTAAATGTCACTTTAAGCTGTATAGAGTTATTCTGTTTAGCTCATTTCTAATAACTGAAGTTTCTAATAGTTTTAATAACTTATTTCTAATAACTGATTTATTTTATCTTTGCCATGATGACAATAAATAATATTTGACTAGATATTTTCAAGACACTTCTTTACAGCCTAAAGTGACATTTAAAGGCTTAACTTGGTTAATTAGGTTAACTTGGCAGGTTAGAGTTATTAGGCTAGTTATTGTATAACGATAGATTATCGAAAAAATGTATAGCTTAAAGGGGCTAATAATTTTGTCCTTAAAATGGTGTTTAAAAAATTAAAACTGCTTTTATTCTAGTCGAAATAAAACAAATAAAACTTTCTCCAGAAGGAAAAATATTATTGGACACACTGTGAAAATTTCCTTGCTCTGTTAAACATAATTTGGGAAATATTTAAAAAAGAAAAAAAATTCAAAGGGGGGCTAATAATTCTGACTTCAACTGTATACATACATGTATATATTTTGATACAATTTTTGTGTTTATGGTTTCTGTAACCTAAAAGTCAATTTATTTTTTAATATGTAAATGCATATTTTTATTTGTTTTTTATATATATATATATATATAAACATAAAAATTGTAATTAGTGAGTGAGACCCATTTTACTAGTGTTTCTCTTCTGGTTACACACATTTAGCTATTCAACTGCTGTAGTGAAAATATCTGCCCAGACTCGCACATTCTGACTAATGCCCACAATATCACAGTGAAAGGAACTCAACACTCAAGGCACTTGTTTGGGTTTCTCTTATTTAATTCTAAACACACGATGCTGGATTCCTGCGAGGTTTCTGCTTGGTTTATTTCCCCATTGACAATAAATGAGAGGTGGAAAGCAGGCCTATAGTGGTCCACTTCACTAGGGAGGAAGTGAGCGAGGTCAATGTTGTTTTGCGAATCCAGTCATTTTCTTGGCATCCCATGAGCCCTCTTCTGCCAAATGTGTTTTAGCCATATGGACTCTGTGCATGTGCTGTATACAAATGTACGTCCTCTGTCTGTACTTGAATGAGTCCAGAAAGCTACAAAATGGAGCTGCTTTTGGTCTTGTTAGTGATTTAGAATTTTAGAGGATAAATGGGTAAAGTGTGGTCATCTGAAAGAGTGCTCTCGTGTTTTAAGTTGTTTCTGAATGCTGTATGTTCAAAGCTTCATGGTCGCATGAGTCAGATGTAAAGAACAGATTTCCTGAGGGAAGGTTATGTATGAAGCTGTGGCCAAGGCTGCTGCAGTGCCTGTGCTAACACACACCACGCACACACCCACGCACACACAATCAGATTGTTCCATTAGAGTGACAATAGAAGCTATTGATTAGAACTATTGAATGGGAAAAGGGGAACTACTGTAGTCTGTTCCGATCAAAGTCTGATCAAATGAAATGTGATTGCACATGGTAGGTCTTGATAACTGGCTCATAATATTTTTAATTTAAAAAGAACTACTATATATTTATGTATAAGAAAATGTGTGTGTATATACACTCACTGGCCACTTTATTAAGTACACCTTACTAGTACCAGGTTTCACCCTCTTTTGCCTTCGTAACTGCCTTTAGCCTTTGTGGCATAGATTCAACAAGATACTTTAGATACTGTAAATATTCATCAGAGATTTTGGGCCACATTGACATGATAGCATCACGCAGTTGCTGCAGATTGCTACATGATGCAAATCTCCCGTTCCACCACATCACAAAGGTGCTCTATTGGATTGAGAACTGGTGACTGTGGAGGCCATTTAAGTACAGTGAACTCATTGTCATGTTCAGAAAAACCAATCTGAGATGATTCATGCACGTTATCCTGCTGGATGTGTACACTGTGGTCATAAGGGGATGGACATGGTCGGCAACAATACTCGGGTAGGCTGTGGCATTGACATGATGCTCAATTGGTACTAATGGGCCCAAAGTGTGCCAAGAAAATATCTCCCAGACTATTACACCCCTACCACCAACCTGTACCATTGATACAAGGCAGGATGGATCCGTGATTTCATGTTGTTGACGCCAAATTCTGAATGTTGCAGCAGAAATCGAGACTCATCAAACCGGGCAACGTTTTTCCAATCTTCTATTATCCCATTTTGGTGAGCCTGTGTGAATTGTAGCCTCAGTTTCCTGTTCTTAGCTGACAAGAGTGGCACCCGGTGTGGTCTTCTGCTGCTTTGCTCATCCACCTCAACGTTGGATGCGTTGTGCATCCTGAGATACTTTTCTGCATACCTCTGTTGTAACGAGTGGTTATTTCAGTTACTGTTGCCTTTCTATCAGCTTGAACCAGGCTGGCCATTCTCCTCTGACCTCTGGCATCAACAAGACTTTTGCGCCCCAGGACTGCCGCTCACTGTATATTTTCTTGTGCGTGAAAATTGCAGTAGATCAGCAGTATCTGAAATACTTAGACCATGCCACGTTCAAAATCACTTAATCTTTGAATCTTTCTTTTTCATTCAGATGCTTGGTTTAAACTGCAGCAGATTGTCTTGACCATGTCTAAATGCGCAAATGCATTTAGTTGCTGCCATGTGATTGGCTGATTAGAAATTTGCTTTAAAGAGCTGTTGGACAGGTGTAGCTAGTAAAGTAGTCGGTAAGAGTATACACATATATAAGTAAAGTACTTAAATTAAAAAAGTATTTGTTGTATATATATATATCATAAAATAATAAATAATATGTAATAACAAAATTAAGTAAAATAGCTAGCTGACAAAACATACAGTCATATACGAAAAAAACAACAGCCAAAGAAAACTAAGCATTAGAACTTATAGTATAGATTATAGCTGTAACCCTGTGTTGACCAATTAGAAGCCAGTAAGTCAGTAAAGCGAACAAAAAAAATCTGATTTAGTAAAAATTGTGTTTGAGTTCATGTTCTGTTCTTGTTGAAAACTGTATCCTGAGTTTTGACCTTATACAGTACTTTACGCTTCACATCTGATTTGCTTTAATAAACATTTACAAAGGTGCGATCCTAAGGTGCGACACAAAGGTGATAATGCACCTCACCACAGAAAAAAGAAAGTGTGACGATTTTCTGTCAAATCTCTCAAATGTAAAAATAAAAAAACTCAGTTAATCCCAAGATATATTGAAGTGCTGAAATATTAAATACATAACTCATCCGTTGTGGAATAACCCAGTTCTGCTTTCCTATAATTAGACACAAGGCTGAACGGTTGTGCTGGAAACGCCAGCATTATTGACCTTGCACAACGAATCCCTATCAGCTCCAGATCAGCAATGGAAATCTAGCACGGAGGCGTGAGGGATGTGCATTTATCAGTTTGGCCCTGTAATGAGAGGCTGAGCTCTGAGGGCAGGAGTTCACCATTGATCATCTGATGCACATGTGCACCACCGTGTGTCCAGACGCCGCCATGAGCCTCCGGAGCTGGCAGGATCTGATTTCACATATGTGCTGTTTTTGTTTGCAGCATTGGCGTCCTGTAACTGCTGAATGAGCGACCGTGAGCTGATCGTATGCTGACGTGCAGAGGGTCGAGTCCGCCTCAGTCTGCTGTGATTGGATGCTGGATGGAATCAAGGTGAATGGAAAACACAGAGCAGGAGCACAACCTGCCAGAAGGAGATGAGACGCAGTGAGTAACTCTCTCTGTCCCTCCCCCTCTCTCTCTTTCTCTCTCAGTTCAATTCAGTCCAAAGCATTTATAAATTTTACATTAAAATAAAATAAATATACACTAAAAAAGCACAGTAAACACAGTAAATAGTAGTAGTAGTAGTAAAAAATAATAATAAAAAGATAAACATATATATTGACTATATCATATATTATTTAATATATCGTAATATTCATATATATCAATAAAAATATTAATAGATCAGCATAAACTGTACATTTAACAATCAACATTTTAGAATTAAACTGTAATAAAAACAACAAAAATCTGTATATTTACAATGATTCATTTATAATAATCTAGATGTGTGTGTTTTCAAGCGCATCACTGATGTTTTTATTGGTCTTCTCTCTCTTTTTGTGACAGCTGTTAATGTATTGTGCCGCTAGAAGGAAATTCTAACCCTAGTAAATATTGAAGTTGTGTTTTATGCAACTCAGGATCATTCTGATTACGTACCCCTATATACATTTTTGGAGAGCGCCAAATACGTCCTAGGAGCTATCTTTTTTTGCAGTTTTTGTTTTTGCTAATCTGCCAGGGGATGCTGAGTATGCTTTTTGAGATCTCAAATATCTCTCACGAGTGCCGTTCGCGCTTGCTGTTCTCACATAAATCCACCAGAGGCTGCTGTCGACTGACTTACTGACCAAGCGACTCATTTCCCCACCTTCCACCTTCCCTAAACCCAACCAATTTTATTTTGAAAAGCACCGATTGACCCGCCCACCCCCTTCTCTAAACCCAACCGTAGTGTTTTAAAAAGCAATCCAGAAAAAGAAAAGCCCCCTTGATTTTTACCACATTTTTAGATTTAACCACATTCTCACCCTTTTATTTACTTGTTTATTTTATTTAAATTTTTTTGTCTTACCTGCTTGTTGGAATCGTTCTTCACCAGACTCGAATCCTGTCATCGCGTTCAACTCCGCTCTTCATCTCAAGTTCATACCTGTCGAGCTACCAGACAAACTGGTAACAGCAGGAAAGCCGTCTACATTAAGGTGTCTGGTCAGCTGGTAAGCGAGAATAGGAGCATTATCATACCACCTCGTAGTGTTCATTTTAAAGACGAAATGCAGCCTAACGTATATAGGGCTACACTTTCAGAATGAGCCCATGTTGGTTTTATTGTTTTTTTCAGTGAATTGAGGGTAAGTGATCTGGAGTTTAGGGTAGAATGTTTCTCTGTTGTGCTGATAGTTTGTTCAATGGGTGAGGAAGTGTTCCTCCACAGTAGGGGCAGATGCGGCTTTCTCTGGGTTGCCAGTTCTGTCTGTATCGGCTCGTCTCTACAGTCAGACTGTGAGCACTCAGTCTGTATTTGGTCGTTGTTCTTAATTTACTGTCCTTTACTGCACTCAGATATGTTGCTGTTGTATAATCTCTATTTAGGTCTAAATAACATTTAAGTTTACTGTTTTACCGCTGCTTCATTCCAGTAAATCAGATTCTCTTCTTTTCATCCATTTATCATTAGATTGGGCTTAATTTTGTGGATGAGCATGTCCGTGTTCTGATGCTGCCTGCTGTTAGTCATATTGGTTGTGTTGGTTTGTTTCTTTTTTCAGTGTCCATTTGTTGGTTTTTGAGGTTTTTTTTGAGGGCTCTGAAATGATATTTTAAACAGTTGGGGTTACTTATTTATATGTGTTTCTCTCTCTCTCTCTCTCTCTCTCTCTCTCTCTCTCTCTCTCTCTCTCTCTCTCTCTCTCTCTCTCTCTCTCTCTCTCTCTCTCTGTCAATTCAATTAAATTCAATTAAAGTCAATAATTGTTTTATTGGCTTGACAAATGTTACAAATGTATTGCCAAGAGCAGTTGTTTACATAAAATAAAAAAATACATATATAATAAAAACAAAGTAAACAGTAGTAGTAGTATAATAATTGAATAAAACATATACATATTTATTCAATATATCATATTATTATTCAATAAATCATATAATTTATATCATATTATTCATTAATTACAATAAAAATAATAATAGATCAAATTTCTCTCTCTCTCTCTCTCTCTCTCTTTCTCTCTCTTTCTCTCTTACTTGGTGTGTGTATATGTTTGTGTGGCATACACTAAAAAATGCTCAACACAATCCCTTCCTTCGTCTTGTCTCAACACTAATCAATAAAGTATACCTAATAGTTTTATTTTACAATATTAAGTTGATTGAACATCAAAAACTATGTTTCAGCTTATTTTAAATGGTTTGAACAAGCAGCTAAATATTTCTAAACATTTCAGGAGTCCTGATTCAGGACATAACTATGTATAATGACATACTGTAAGTATTACAAAGAGTGTGTGAATTATGAGAACATGCTTCTCAATTATACAGAAGCTTTTTTTTTTCACTTTCAGAAAGTAAAACTGCAGACAGATTCCTGTAAAGGGGAGGGTTAGGTGTGGAGTAGGGCAATAGAAAATACAATTTGTACAGTATAAAAACAATAGAAACCTACGGCATGTCCCCACATGCAATTTACAAAAACCAACCATTGTGTGTGTCTGTGTGTGAGTGTGTGTGTGTTTGATAAATATGCTCTTAAAAGAGGTAGTTTAGGCAGAAATAAACATTTAGTTACCATTCACTTAAGTGTGTGTGTGTGTGTGTGTGTGTGTGTATGATGCATTTTTTAAAATGCAATTTGTCATTTGTATACACAAATTTTGTACACTATTTGTAGCACAACAGTGAAAATGAAGAGGTTCCAAAACCGTGTTTGGCACATATTAAGGTTAAAAGTTTTTACAAAAGTTTTTTTTTTCTATGATTATCATGTCATAATTCAGATAGTATTCAGTTTTTTTTTTCTAGAAAAAAAAGCCATTAAATTCTAAATTCCTTTTGAAAAAACACTCCTAAAAACATGTTATAACTTAAAGCTACAAACAAACACAAACTAATAAAATAAGACAAATGATTAATGGTGTACTTTGAATGTTTTCTGTCCATTCAGTTCCAAATATAGCTTTAGTAATGCCAAAAAGCCCAACATCTCTAAATGGACAGGTGTCTACTGAAGAAACAGTAGTTTTGTCTGTTGTCTGCAGCGTCTCTCTCTAATCAAACCAAATTTAATTGTAATCCAGAGTGCCTGATGACAATCCATCCAAGAGTGTGAAGTGTTTTACGATTAGACGATACGATTAGATGAGGACTAAGACAAATAAAGAGTGAGATTAGAGTGCAGGACAGAGAGAAGGCAGATGGGGCCACCGGGCAGCAAAGGACATTTCAGGACACTGAATCATTATGACAGTCACTGGATTGTCTGCGATCAGCGTTTGTGTGTGTGTGTGTATGCATGTGTGTATGTGTGATTGTTTGCATGTATGTATGCATGTTCGTATGTGTGTATATTGTGTGTGCATATACGTATGTACATGTGCATGTGTGTGTATGTGTAAATGTGCGCGTGTTGCAGTTTTGAGTTTTTTAAGCACGTGTCTCTCACATGTGCCGCTTCCCCCTAGTCTGTCAGTGTCTGCATGCACATAAACCACACTCAGTTTCATGGCCCTGTGGGTCAGTTTGTGGGATTATTATGCAGCTCGAGCAGTTTCAGATGGTTCCCTGTAAGGCAGATTTGTCCTGCGCCCTCCTCGCCATTTAATTACGCCTCTATAATTTGATTAGCAGCGAGCGCGCGTGAGTGAGCATTTAAGGCTTATTCAGTGTGAGTGTGTGCGATCTTCTCTCTCTCTGTCTGTCCGTCTCTCTCTGACAGCCTGTGCGGGCATTGAAAAAGAGGAAGTGGAAGTTCGACGTGCTCCCGGTGGACTTTGCTTTGATGTGTCATCGACTCACGTGTCGCTTTAGCAGGAGATTACAGAGGATAGAAAGTCACGGTTTTAACTGCTTCATGGCCAGAGTTCAGCATGTCTCTTATCTTTTATATTATGTTGATAAAAATATTAAAAGTTATATATAGCAACAACCATTTTTAATGAACTGCTACTGCTATTAATAATACTACAACAGCAATAGTAATGATAAACACATTTGTTATTAAATATGAATTATTAATATTAATAGTAGTAATAATAATAATAATAATGTGGTGGCACAGTAGCTCAGAGGTTAGCACTGTCGCCTCACAGCAAGAAGGTCGCTGGTTTGAACCCCGGCTAGGTCAGTTGGCATTTCTGTGTGAAGTTTGCATGTTCTCCCCATGTTCATGTGGGTTTCCTCCAGGTGCTCTGGTTTTCCCCACAGTCCAAAGCCATGCAATATAGATGAATTGAATAAACTAAATTGGCCGTAGGGCATGTGTGTGAATGCGAGAGTGTATGGGTGTTTCCCGATGCTGGTTTGCCACTGGAATAGCATCCACTACGTAAAACATTTGCAGGATAAGTTGACGGTTTATTCCACTGGGGCGATCCCTGATGAATAAAGGGACTAAACCGAAGGAAAATGAATGATAATAATAACAATATTTTATTGTTTTAACAGTACTGTGTAACAAGTACTGTTAATATAATTATTTTGTTATTTTTATGTATTGTAGTTATATATTTTCAGCATTTTTTAAATAATGGACAAATATTTATTTAAAACATTAATAATTTGTGAATAGAAAATCTTATTTTTAGGATTCATCTTTCAAGTTCTCAAATCCCACTCTACATTTGCATACATTTGTAAAAACAAGATAAAGTTTAATATAATGAAATAATATAATATATTTAATAAAATAAAAATAACATATAACCATTTAAATAATACAATAAGGTGATTTTAGATATTATTAAATAATATTCATTCATTCATTTTCTTGTCGGCTTAGTCCCTTTATTAATCTGGGGTCGCCACAGCGGAATGAACCACCAACTTATCCAGCAAGTTTTTACGCAGCGGATGCCCTTCCAGCCGCAACCCATCTCTGGGAAACATCCACACATACACACACACACTCATACACTACGGACAATTTAGCTTACCCTATTCAC